TCTTCGGCGCTCGGCCTTTTTTATGGTCCAGCTCTCACAGCCATACATTACTACTGGATGCACCCATATTCACCACTGAACATGAGAAATAGAGTAAATAATTTGAGCATACTCTGTGTCAGCCTATTCTGATTTACCATATCTGAAGGTCTAAGGATTATGAGGGTGATAGTTCAACATTTGTCCAGGCTTGGAAAGGCTGCTATTATGTCAATATGTGCAATGTCTAATAGCTGCAAGAAATAGCTGCAAGAAGGGGCAATATGCGATTGATTGATTGATTGAGCCTTCAAGCCAGACTGGATTCTTGGCAGCTATATGGGCAAGTCTGTGCAGTTTTCTTGCAACATTTTTCAGAAGTAGTTTTCTATTGACACCTTCTTAGGACTGAGAGAGGGTGACTGGCCCAAAGTCACCCAGTTAGTTTCACGCCTAAGGCCTGTAACCACTACACCAAACTGACTCTCCCTATATGTTATAGGAAGTTTGCTAGGACTGGTTCAGTAAATCTGAGTAAACTATAGAAATGAGTGATAAGCAATGCATCTGCTAATTTCTTTTATACATCTTTCATGGATGATACTGCTTCAGAAGATGAAAGCAGCTATTAGTACGTGACCTCCATATTCAAACTGGGTTGACACATTTCAGACAAGTAAATGATTTTGAAAGTGCTGAAGGAGAAGAGCTGCAGCTGAGGAGTAAATTTAGCACTATGTCCATTCTCAGTTTTTCATGGAATGGGCTGGCCTTTGGAAACCTCACAATGGACCTATGTTTACCAATTGGATTTTTTCCAAGCAATGGATGAAAAGCAGCCGTTGTTTTGTGTCCTCCCTTGGATATTTTAGATTCTGTGTCAGCAGTGTAAAAGCCAGGCTCATGCCTAGCTGCAGGGACACAGTGTCAGACATGATGCAAAGAGAGCAAGTTTTTCCCATTGGGGGCTAGCAGGCTAGCAGGACACAAACCATCGATTTATGGAGTTTGAAAATGAGGAAAGAGATAGGGAAAGGGAGGGAACTGATTTAAGCCAAAAGCTTGCTTTGAACATTGTGTTTACATTGGAGGAATCCTATTAATTTCACACTGAGCATTTCTGTATAACTACAGTGTCAATTGTCTATTTTACAGAAAGAAACATTGTTAATTTGGTTTGATTTTTTAAAACTTTTTTTTCACCCAGATAGGACAAAGCACATGCTTCTAGAAAGCATTTTAAGAGCATTATATCAGGATGTAACGTAATGCCTTTCAATGAAAAATGATCCTGTTTATGGACATAACCCAAAGCTCACCACCCAACTCCAGACATTTAAGGAGGGGGGACTCTTTAGAAATCAAATATAGCTGTATGATGTTCCTGTTGATTATTTGTTCATAGATCATTTTTTTAAGACTGTGACCATCCTTTTAGATTCATGCGATACTTGTGAAAGTAATGGCATGTTTTCCTGCTTCCCATTTTTTGGTCTCAAGTACTGGAGAAGAGTGAATTCAGAGATGAGTCTCAGTATTTCCGTTTTCATGCTGATGAGGAGATGGAAGGTACAAATTCCAAGAGTAAGCCACTGCGAAATGACTTCAAGCTCGTTGAAAACATCTTAGCCAAAAGTTTGCTGGTAAGAACAATCAATCCGGACAAATGTATTCAATTCTAACCAAAAACCTTGTAATTCTGACACATTATGTGCCTACTAATCTATTGCAAATACAAAATCATGTCTCTGGCTCTGGTAGGGAGATATTTTTCAACTGCACATCCCTCTAAGGAAAAAAGAATCAGATATTTGGCATAAAGTGAGGACTATCCTATTAACTGCCTCACTGCAGAAGCCAAGAACAATTGTACACTTTTCCACAGAGGAATAAATTGGTTTGCTTGGCCTGTGGGAGCTGGCATGGGAGAGCTGGTCATGAGAAGAGGAAGAAATTCACCTGTGGATCGGATTCAATTTCCTATCACTGTGCTATAGGCGTGAAGGAATAGTGAAAGCTGTACTTAGCTTAAGCTGCTGACAGTTGGGTCCTAATATCAGCTAAACGAGCTTACCTGAAAAACAGTTAACTTTCAAACACTTTTATCTAAACCAGGCCATTAGCACCTCGCATAAATTTGTTAGATATGAACTGGCTTATACAACAATCCATGCTGCTCTAAGATGGAGACTTCTCCAATGTAGGAGTTGGCATTTATTAAAAGTGATGATTATTGAGTGATGATTCTTCAGTTGGGTGGGCTATTATTTAATTTAATAATAAATAAATAAATAATGAGAAGGTAGATGGATATAGAAATAAATGTTTGCATTAATGAGCTGAGATTTCATTTAATACTAACTGTAGAACTCTGTTTTGGATATGAAGGGAGTTTAAAATCAAAGGTTATTTATGCTGAAATTATTTTATATTACAGTAAATCACCAGTATATCATATTTATAGATGCTTTGCTTTGGTTAATTTCCCAACAATCAAGGTTTGCTGAGGATTTCACCATATGAATTCAGTTGAATTATAGTCATAACTATGGAAGAAAGGGGGGGAAAGGTCATCTGGTGCATTTTGAAACAAGTTCTAAACCTCTCCAAATAAAAAATACTAAGTTGGAGAAGATAAGTTCAATTGACTCCAGAACTTACAGCTATAAAAAGTTTATTCTGGACAATTAAATCCAGGCCAATTGTAAGTGTGCAAGACCAACCTTTCTCCAGCAATGTGCTAAGTTTCAAAGGAGTCTTTAAACAGAACCAGTTTGTAAGACGTTGTTTCCAGACTATTCTGGAAAGACAATCCAACCACATTGGCAATTTTTATGTGCTTTCTTTTATTAATCCCATCACCTTTTGAACTGGTACCTAGATTATGTCTAAAAGCAATAGTAACCTAGAATGCCTTTTTTATTTGTTTCCATTCCTTCAAGGAAGGGAGCTTAATTTCCTTAATCTTGTGGTATCTTGAGCCAATGAAACAAAAGGTAATTGATTAGCTTAATAGCACTGACTCCGTCAGTGTGATTTTGTGTCTCTGCCAATCACAAACATTGTAAAAGGTAGATACAGCTATTTGTTTATGTGTTTATTTATTGTTTTCTTTTTAAATGTCCTAGCAGATCATACGAGTCTTAGATGTTACCTGACAAATGTTCACTTCATTTGAGAGGTTTTAAAATATGTTTTAGAGTTCAGTTGAGCTTACTGGGCAATTTACAACAGGACAAAACCACTAGTTTTAAACATTTGAAACAGTATTAGCCATGCATAAAGCTACTGCAAATTAAATACTATATGGTATGAACATTTTTCTGCAAAATGAACCACAATAGCTAGCCTGCCAGCTTTCTCCAAGGAGCGTTCCATAAAGGGTATGCCTCTGTGAAAGACCTTGTTCCACTACAGGTAGTCCTTGCTTAACAACCCTAAATGGGACCGGAATTTCCATCGCTAAGCGAAGTGGTCATTAGGCAAAGCATGTGACTGCACTGCTTAGCAATGGCAATTCCGGTAGTCCCAGCTGCAGTCTTTAGGGAAGATCAGGCCATCAGGCAAGGACTTCACACTTCTCCTGCCCTGCCACACTCACCTCCACTTCAACACCCCCACCAGCCTATCCCCCTCCTCTGCCTCTTTGGGCACCCTGCACTCTGCTGCCTTCCCTGAAGTGCCAGCAGCTGCCTTGCCCGGGCACCTCTCATCAGCAGTGGGAGGAAGAAGATGTTGAAGGTCAGCTGGGGGCAGCAGAGGGTGGCAGGAGTAGGTGGCGGCGGCGGCAGAGTGCAGGGCAGCAGTAAGGGGGAGATAGGCAGGGGAAGTTACAGCACATGCTTCATAAATTGGGGTGGACTACAAAGAGCCCAAATTTTGATCACATGACCGTGGGGGCACTGCGACAGCCGTAACTTGGAGAACCGGTCATAACTACCATTCATTCAGCACCATCATAACTTTGAACAGTCCCTGAAGGAATGGTCGTGAAGCAAGGACTATCTGTAATTAGCTTCCAGGGAAGAACAGGCCTTCATCTAGGGATCTTTGTTCAAAAAAAGGCTTTTGCAGGAAATGATGTTTCCTGACATACTTTGGATTAAGAACCATCTTAATCCCTAATTTGATTAAGACCCTGTATAAACATGAAATTATCATGCCTACTTTTAGTTTTGTTCTCAGGATCTTTTTGTTTCATTTGATCTGTATGCCAGTCACTGTCTTGAAGGCATCAATTATACATATTGAGCTGAAACAAGCAATTAAAACTCTGCATTTCTGCTAGTATAGATGCAGCTTTCCTTAACAAATATTCACTTTAGTTAAAAAAAAAAAAAAACTCCATCATTCAAGAAAAAAATAAGTCAAACTATATCCTTAAAGGAAAAGAGAATATTATTCAACTCTAAGTTTTTAGTTTACTTTTTGTTTCATTGAAAGTAATGAAAAGAAATAATGAATATTTTGTCTTTAGTTGATGTTGAGGACTCGCAGGAAGAACTGAAACAGCAAAAACTATTTGGGACCAAACAAATTTGTTTTCAAAAAAATAGTGTGTGTTAAAGATTTTATTTTATTTTATTTTTTAATCATGCTCCAAGGTTCTTCCAGAAGAGGATGACTATGGGTTTGACATAGAAGAAAAGAACAAAGCCATTGTCGTAAAGTCTGTTCGCCGGGGTTCACATGCAGAGGTATGATTTGTAACTATTTTTGAATAGCATTTTGATAATGCTATTTTACTCAATTCTTGAGCTTATTAACTGACTTTTGATGTTACAAAGCTTCCAGCATATGGCTAAGTACCAGTTAAGTGGCTATAAATCATTGGTGAAAACCTCTGGTGGCTTGATGCTCTCCAGGTTGAGGGTTGGGAGCTGTGGAACCTGGGTGGTGTTTGTGGGATTGTGAACTGCTTCATTAAATAGTGTTTATTGACATTATATGAACTGGAAAGAGAAATGAGATATAACTCACTTATATAGTCTTTTGTACTTTAGGCAATTCAGAAGAGCTATATTTGATGTCCTGTAGAAATTACAGAAAATGTTGGTGGTTGCATAATTGCATATTATATTCTAGAGTTGTAACTGTTTTGCATAACTGTGGTTATGGTAACCATAGGCCAGGAATATTTCTGACTGAGAAAAATCTTAGGAATGTGGGGTTTTTTTTCTAAAAATGCTGAAATTCATTAGAAAGCCTTAGTCTTTGCTGGTACCAAATACTACATTTTTAAAAATACTCCCATAGAATTCATACTGCTCTGAAGTTAATTGGTTTGAGAGATAATTGTCTGAGAAACCAAATAAAATATAAGCACACGACTGACCTGGAATTCTATTCTTGCAGAAAGGGACACCTTTTAATAATAAGCATAATTCTTATTTATAGAAGAAAAGTTACACAAAATACTATTTCATAAGGATGAAGACTCTTCAAATAAGACTTCAAAAGTTTCACCTGTAACCTTTTTATAGATCTTTAGAATAAAATCTATGCAAATTTAGTACTCTGACTTTCTGTCTGTCTGTATATTATTCCGAATGTGCTTCCCCACAAAAACAATAAATGGAATTGGCTTTGGAGTAGTCACCAGTTATTTAATTAATTTATGTACAATATTGATAAATTGCCCCACTTAGCTGAGGTTCTTGGAAGTGTATAACAAAGCAGAGCAAGACAATAAGTTAACTTTCAACTTAGAACATCTCAAAAATAACTAACATCTACATTTCTCTGAAAAAGTATTCATGCTCTTCCAGATTTTCTGAATTTTTGCACCACTGAATGTTATCAGAATTTCATGTGAGTCCTTTTGCTATATAAAGGGAGTGTGAGGGCATTCTTTCATGGCCCATTAGTGTGCATCCCTCCCATATATATTGACATGAATCATGCTGTCTCCATAGCTCACCTTTATCACACTTCAGCAGCAAGGCCTCACACAATTTAATGCAGGGTAGTTTGAGAGCAGTCACTGATGCCCATTTCTCCTCTCACCCATTATCACCTACTGACAGAAAACCTAACCAACTAGTCACTTGTGAAGGTGTGCCAAGTTGATTGGGGAATTAATCTTATATTATTTGCTTATTTAGCCTTAATTTTTATTACACTGCACATTTTGTCTGATGGGACTGTTGATGTCCCAAGAGATCTATAGCCTTATGAAACAATTTCATTGAAGCTGCCAGGTTGGAATTGGTTTTGGCCAGGCAAAAGCCACTTCTCTCTCCCACCATCCTATTCCATATTGGTGTATGTGTGTTTGGGTGTGTGTCAGGTGCTTTTCCTTCATTATGATCTCCCCAGCACACACTTGTGCAACATACATATGCACCAAATATCAGGATTCCTGTCAGATATTGATCTGGGATTTAGATATTCGAGTATAAAACTAAATGGACTAAAAATCCATTGTCCCTCACAGTCAAAGCAGCCATGGAAATGTAGGGCTCAGCAACTGGACAGGGAAGAGGGTTCCTGTAGCAGATTTGCTGGGTGAACTGGAGCTAAGCAGATGGCTATGCCTGACCATGTCATTCCCAGGCTCATCCCTCAGGCACTATAAGTAGTCTGCATGGAAAGTTTTGTGTGGGGAGAAGAAAGAAAACACCACTTCTCACCTAGAACAACTGAATATAGCTCTAATCTACCTCAGCAATAGGCTGCAATGGAGGCAACACTGTGAGGACATGTACTTCAAAAATGGTTAGTGAAGTGTGTTCTTGCTATGACGAGAACAATGTAAGGGATGAGCGAACTGAGTGAACAACTAACACCAAAGTTTATGCTTGAATCATTTATTTCATAAACAAAACATCTGATGTACCAGAGTAAAATAGTAATTCCCCCCTCCAAATGTTGGCCACCACAGTGAAGTTCTTGCCACACAGATTCTGCTCAAAAGAAAGGTCTGAAAACCTGTATAAAAATGTTATTGGTGCCTATCAATTTGGAAAACTTTCCAATAGCATTTCTAAAGCCCTGGAAGTCCACCTATCCACACTCAGAGATAGATTCTTCAAACAAAGATGATTTGGGACAATACTGAGTCTTCCCAGGATCAAAGTAGCGGATTGCTAGTGACATTGGACTAGCTGAGTTTAGGCTCAGTAGCTGGATAGAATCATGGCAATAAAAGTTACGTCAGTAGGCTGGAGATTTCCCTCCGCTGCAATTGCAGATCCACCTGTGTGAAGCTGGTGTGTGTTATTAAGCATCTCTCTCTTTCCTCCATTGACTTTTGGAAGAAAAAAAACAGGGATAAAGACTTGGCTGCCTTTTGCTTTGGGCATTATTGTTGCTTAGCAACATTTGCCATCTGCTAAATGCATTATTGTATAAATTAAACAAACATTATGCAGGTTCCAAAGAACTCAGAGGAATTAATCTACAGTGGGGACATTTTTTGTAATCTAGAGTCCTATGAGATGCTCAGTCCAAAAATCCCTCTACTTTAATGCATTAGCTTGGTGTGTTGGAAAGATACAGTTCTGTATTGCAGAGATCTGGACTGTAGCAGATTCTGTCCTGAATCAAGTTTCATGGCCTAGTATCATCAGTAAGAATTAGTAATAATCACATTATTATCTTTAGCATGGTCAAAGTAATTTATATTCATTTTTAATAATTATTCAATACTTGCAATAACATAGGGCAACATTATTATCCTTATATTCCATTTGGGTGCTCAAGCCCACAAGAAGCCAATTACTAAATTTATGGCAAGGTGAAAAATCCAGAACTGGATCACTTAATCTTTGAGGCAACCTTTTCCCATTTGTTTCATTCAGGTGCACTGGCATTGCAATTCCAAAATTTCCAGTTAGCATTTCTGAATTTTGGCAGTGCTGATTGGGAACCCTAGAAATTACAGTTTCAATGCACCTTGAAGGGAGGGGACAAGTTGACAAAAGCTTCTTTTACAGTTCAGTAGTTCTATATGGTAATTTGTGTATATTCATGCTGCTAAAGCAGAGTATGTAAATGTGTGGGTAGCTGTGCATAATCAGCACATACAAGTTGACTAGCAAGAATCAGAGCAGAGACAATGTAAATGCCCTCATCCAGATTCCATTATTCCCTGTATCTCTTAACCAAGCTTTTTAGTTTTGGACATTATGTCATACAAAAGCTACTCTTGATTTTCTGCTTTTGGTGAAAATGGCTATTTTTAACATTGGGTCACTAATGCTATTATCTCCAGGCTATACTATCTGGGCTTCAGAAATACAGATGATTACTAGATGACAGCTAACAGATACATGAAACTCTTTATTTTCTGCCATCTAATGGTCATCCAGAAATTTGCAGCCTAAATATGGATATGGTAGGCCTATATAAACTACTGTACTAGCAAACAGGAAATCATGGAATTGAAAGGGATCTGAGAGGTCATCTACTTCAACGCCCTGCTTAGTGCAGGATCCGCTAAAGCATTTCGGAAAGGTGACTATCAGGCCTCTCTTTGAAGACCTTCAGTGAAGGAGAACATACCAATCTTCAGATAAAACTCTGAAGAAATACTAAATACTAAGATATATCAAGAACATTTTTATGTATCAGCCATGCTACCTGGAGGAATCTGGTACTTAATGTTACTGCATCTCGTGGACACCAGGTAGATTAGGAAAATTAGCTACTTTTGTTTGAATGGTACATTCTTTTCATATTCATCATGGAGTGGGGATGAGGAGCTGTATAAGACAATTCTGACAATTATACATCTTACTCAGCCATTCTTTTTATTTCTGCCCACACTTTGCTAATCTGTCTTTGCACTCCTGATTCCCTCAAATAATCTAGAAACCTCCTTTCTCTGGAAGTGAAATACCTTTGTACTTTTTCAGGATTCTGCAGACTTGTTGGATTCATATTGCCATGTCAGTAGACTCTTTCATGCTCTGACAAATTGTTAGCTCTGTAGGTGGTTGAATAATTCTAGTTTGAAGGCATTCATTCTGATATTTCATCTCTGCATGTTTTTTACTAAATATAGTCACAGTCTGTCAGGATGAAGAAACAAGAAGTTCCCCCCCCCCCTCGACACATGTTTACTACTCTGCTTTGAGGAAACATTTGACAACCAGCTGTCTGATAATTAATTTAATTGCATCTAACAACCATTTGATCTATGCCCATGTAAAAGCTCATGCAGAAAGCCAACATCCAGATAACCACATTTGATTATTAGGAATTGAAACAGAGAGGGAATACAATAGCTATCTCAATTAAATGCTTCCTTTTAGATTTGCTGCTACTTTTTGAAATTCTGGTTTGTGCGCAAGTTATACACTTATACATTGTAGCTTATTTATCAAATGTATGGTTGTGCATTGGTATATTTATAAATCCAAAGAAATTGATTCCAAACCCAGAATGAAGTTTTGATTTTGCATTTTTTTCCACTGTTACCCCTGTAATTTTCTTCTCCCTAGGTAAAGTCTCCTTCAAGTTGAGCTTGAATCCTGGTGATTTCATGGACATGCCAATGTAGTTTTCTTTAGCAACAATATGAAAGTGTTTTTTCAATGCTAATCTTCAGAATTGGTCTTCTGTCTTCCCACTCTTAACCCCCAGGCCTATTATTTCCGGGTGATGTTCCAATTAGGCCCATCAAAGCAAATTAGTTGACAAAGGAAAGTCAGAACATGTGCCATGGAGGAACATAATGCATTGTCACAGTGTATGTTTTAGGGCATAGTTCTTGCTATTCTAATTCCTTGAAGCCCTTTTTGTCTCATCATTGCCCCAGGTATAGCAAGAATCTAATTTAGAGAATACCCAATGCTTTCATACAGTAGTCAGACTCAACTTTTACTGCATCAAAAATTGATCCACTTTCTTCCATAGAAACTTATCTGCTGATGTTTCTCAGTTCTTGATAAGCTTTCAGGAAACAAGGGATCTCCAATACAAAACTTGGGGAAAAGACACACTAATTAATCAACTTCTGTTTTCTAACTCACGTTTAATAGTGCAGTACGTTTTGTAATACTTGTGCATCATTTCAGATGGCGGGCTTGCAGGTTGGCCGGAAAATTTATTCCATGAATGAAGATCTTGTGTTCCTGCGTTCATTTCAAGAGGTTGAGACCATCTTAAACCAGTCCTTCTGCTCTCGGCGGCCTCTTCGACTTCTTGTGGCCATCAAATCTAAAGAGTAAGATCCTAGAAAAATGCAGCCTGTTTTTGGAAACATATTCTGAGACAGACAGAGAGATCACATGTGCATATGGACATAATAGTTTTATAGTCTTGTGTCCCTGATTCAGAGAACAAATGTACCTATTAAGCTAGATTCCAAAATCATGACTCATAGTCTTCTGTTAACCATAAAAGAGACTACGCAGTGTTTATGCAGTGAGATTGACTTAATAGCTTAAACATACATTAATACATAGCTGAATTAGAGAAAATATATATTTAAGAATAATAAAAAAATTCTCTAGTGCAACATCTTTGTTTTAGAGCTTTCTAATACTATATTCCTGATAGTTTGAACTTGTTTATTCTTTCATTTGGCTTTTGGTAGTCTGTTAATCTTTTTTCTACCTCACTTATAATAAACAGGATACTAGGAGCTGTGATTGTTTTTGTCTTTTTAGTCAGAGAATTCCCCACAGAATACAACCTTAGATCTTCCATGAAAAGTGATATGGAGTAGCTTATACAGAACAGAGTATCCATCCTTTAACCAATCAAGACTTTTTTCTTCATGTAATTCTCTTATTTTTGGCAGGATTATCAAAATTCCAGATTGCAATGAAAAGCTGTGTTTCCAGATATGGGGAGCAGCACCACCGTATGTTCATGCTGTGGGGCGAGGTAAGGAAAAGGAATATGGACATGCACCTTGTTGATAACGTTAATACTTGTTGATAACATTAACCTGTCATCTCAAAAATACTAACAAGACAAATATATTAGCATAACACTTTACACTATGTTATTTATATACTGTGTAAATCCATCCATCCATCCATCTGTACTGTTGTTGAGAAAATCTATCTGTTGTGATTCTCCTGTCCGTCCCCTAAGGATCAGAAGCAGCAGCTGTGGGGCTTCACCCAGGTCAATGTGTCCTGAAAGTAAATGGAAATAATGTGATGAATGAAAATTACACTGAAGTTCTGGATCACTTTTCGTCATACAGGAACAGGCAACAGGAATTTCTGGTGAGCAAGTGGGTGTGTGAAGGGGGGGATCAGTTTTCTTACAGTGTGTTTTCTTACAATGATTTGGGAGGGGAGAAGAGGAGAAAGAAAATGCATCATGTTATGAAACTAGTCTGCTGAATAAATCTGCTTTAAATTATATCCTTTCTTCAACTGTTGAGAAGTAAAAATCTGTATATTTCCTTCAATCACAAATATTCTGGCAGATACAACAGATTATTTCCCTTTTAGTTTGCAGGGATAAGCCCTGCTAACAAAGCCCTGGATTTATTTTGGAGACCTGAATACTCTTCCTTATAAAAATCACTATAGAACTGTTATAGCCCCATTTTAAAAGCAGTACTTGTTTCCAAAATCCTTCTCTAAATTCAGAGTTAGTTTTAAATTCTGTGATTTTAAATTTTCACAGAGCTTGGTGCAATTCCTATTTCTTAGCCATTCGCTCCTCTCCTTAAATTCTTCAGCCCAAACAGCACTGTGGTTCTAATTATGGGCTGACTAAATCTATCCCATAGGTGAGTGGTTCCACAGAGTTTTACTAGGAGAACCAGACAACATCCAGTCTGGGCTTTTCTGCAGAATAACAAAAAGTTATCTATGTACTACCACACACCTCCTTTTAGAGGGTCAAAAGATACTATACTAGATACTTGTAAGTGCATTATAGATTTGAAAGGATCTAAGAATCTAAGGGAAAGGATGCTCAGAATTAAGGCCATGCTGTGTCTGGAGAAAACATTTAACCTTCACTATTTGCTTCTCCATAAGCTGCTGTTTGCTTCAAGGGGGGAGCCACTGTTTGCCCAGATGTAGATTCTATTTGAAGGCAATTAGTAGTTTCAAAGACGGGAATGTTGTTTATCAGGACCTCAGCGTGAAGAGAAAAGGTTAATTTGATTTCCTGAACGGTCTCCTATATCTACTATTGAGATCAAAAGTCACCAAAAAAAGGAGGGCATTTCCCCTCTTCTATACATTTCTAATACGCTATCTAAAAGTTGCCAACTTTGCAAATAGATTAGAACGTAGCACTGGTTTGCCACCAGGCTTTTCCTCTCATTCATTTATTCATTCTAATAATTTGTATTCTACTTTATATTATTCAGTAACACAATACAACTATTAAAAAACATTAAATATGTGATATTCAGTACCATAAAAATCAACTTAGCATGTCAGCAAGAAAATAAACCATGTAAAAAATTTTGTGGTTCGAAGTATCCTCTCTCAGAAATAATATTTAATGTCTGCATTAATAAAACTATTTTGGTGAATGGAGTGCATGTCGGGGGATCTTTGGAAAGAAGAGAAGCTTCAATGTATACTCTAGAAATCCCTTCCCAAATACACTGTCTTCCCACATATGTCCCCATTCTAAACACGTTGCTTTCCCAATATGCAGTCTTCTACAGTGTTTCAAATGTAATGGATTAAGAGTTTTCATTCATATGTTTATATGAACTGCATTTGTCTTGTTTTGCCTCAGTGGACCAGGGCATTCTACAGTGGAATGTTTCCCCTCTCCCACACACTCATTCCAGAGGCAGGATTGGAAGAGTCTGATGATGCTTCCTGAGACAGTGAGAGCATTGTTCCCAATTTGGGCCCTATCTCCTCTGGAGAAAACACTTGCCTGTAGCTTTACCAAAAATATATCCTGATCTTCAGGCAGATCTCTCCTCTCCTCTCCTCTCCTCTCCTCTCCTCTCCT